ACAGTTGTGTTTTAGATGGTTGTTCAAAAGTTTTAAGATCTTGGACACCACTATTGAAATAATTTGGTGTAAACCTAGACTGTATCTTAGGCATTTTCACTAGTCACCAGCTGGCTTTCTTTTCAGAATATTCCTCCCTCTTTCTGTCTTTTATAACAATCCTCTAAGTCATTAGTTATGCTGCCTTATGGAACTCCAAAATTCACTCCAGGCTTGACCTTCCCTCTAGCTGTTTATTTCCTCTAGGCCACAATAAAAATGCAGCAATTCGAAGTACTGGGTTTAGCTGCACATTGCTGGTGTGAAGCTGATTAAAGTAATTCCTCTTAACTTGTGAATGAAATTAACTCTTTTAAAAGGCATATTTGCATTTTAATGGCAGTCCCTTAGCACAAATTAATGTCTAATTGGTTGAATGTGTGATAGTAAATTTTAGTAGGGAGAAAGTTGGGAGGTGGTGGTGTTATTCCTTGATTCTATAAATTTACAAGAGCTGCTACTGTCAAAGCTTCAAGACTCTCACCTCTCAGTATTCTTCCGTGTGATCTGAGTTTGCTTCCTGAAGCTAATATTCCCAAAAAGCTCTTTGGCTCTAATTTTAATTAACACTTTCCAATTTTCTTCTTTGACCATTCCACATGTTCTGCAGCTTGATAAATTATCTTTCCTAACATATTTGATTTCCCTTTTTCTCTTTTGGCATTCCTTAGATTTCCTTCATGAAACGATTTCTTCAACTTGTCTCTGCGTGTCTGTATTCCCCAGGAGTCCAGCTGTGGCCTTCAGTTCTCTCACTATGCACACTCCCATGACTTCAGTTATCATTCATTTATTCATTCAATATATATAGCGTCGCCAGAACACTTAATTGTGTTCATGCAAAACCTGTACATATATCAAGAAGCAGCTGAGCAAAACAAGAGAACATAGTACTGTGAGACTACTGTAGGGGTGGCTGAATCCCCTGGTCAAGGCCTGGTTTGGCCAAAATAAATTAATAAAAGAATTGAGTAGAGCAGGAAAAACTGGTAATATAGTTCCTGTGCTCTAGGAGTATTACAGAGTACAGAAATTTTAGTGGCTCTTTTCTTTAGTTTTTTAATTTATATTAGTTTGCTTACAAAGTTCATATGCATTGTGTTTCACAATATTCTTCATTTACATTGTGTTTCATTTCCATTATGTTGTAGAAAATTAATCACAGTTTGGCCTTGCCCATCATTACCCTATCTTTTCAGGTCGCTGCAAGATCCTTCCCATTTCCTTTACTCCCTCCCTCCACTTACCAAATTATGCAACCCTGTGGTTTCACCCCTATTTATCCTGCCTCTTTCCCTCTTGGCTCTTAAAAGAGTCATTGTTCAGTGCCACAGCAAGAGAAATAGCACCTAAAAGAGCCATTGTTTGTCTTGCTTAAAGTGGTCCTGATGTGGGCCAACTCCCTGTTGCAATAAGCAGAGTCTGATCAGAGCTCTGGAAACTCAAAAGTCACAAAGATCAAGGATGTCTCACATGGTTAGAAGTCATGGTGTAGGCTTAGCCCTTGTTGCAGCAAGCAAATTGTGGCCAGGGCACTGGAAAATCAATGGCCAACAAGGTCAGGCATGCCCATCTTGCTGAGAAGAACAAGGATATAGGAGTGAAGGTGGAAATATAGGAAAGTTTATTAACAAAAGTATACTCTCAAGAGAGAAACCAGTCACTCTCTGTGGAAAGTAGAAAAATGGAGAGGACCCTGGGCTATAATGAAGTAGGTGTTATTACAGCCAGTAACTTCCCCTTGAGGTGGTCTTTATACAAATATAGGCTAGTGGTGTCCAGGCCTATGGGATTTTGTCAAAGGAAGTTCAAAACTTAGTGAAATGTTCTCACTCTGGTCCATCTTCCTTTATGTCACTGGCTGCATGAGGGGTTTCATGTACCTAAAATGTGAACTAGGTCACTTCAGAATAGTCCTTAACTGTGCATGTCTGGACTGTGAAGCATTGAGGTTCTCCCTCTGTTGTTGTTAAGTGCCGTCAAGTCGCCTGTGACTCATAGCGACACTATGTACAAAAGCCCTAAAACCCTGCTCTATCCTGTGCCAATCTTATTGTCCCCCCCATACCTACCCCCCGATTACCCCAGTCACTGAATCAATCCATCTCATTGAGAATCTTCCTCTCCTGTGCTGTCCCTCCACCCTCCCAAGCATGACATCCCTCTCCAAGCACTAGTCCCTCCAAAGTATGTCAGATGCAGCTTCAGAATCCTTGCCTTCAAGGAGCAGCCTTTTCTCACCTTCTCTAGGACGAATTTGTTTCTTGTAGCAATCCATGATATATTCAATACTCTTCTCCAGCATCACAGCTCAAAGGCATCAATTCTCCTTCTATCATTCCTAGTCATTGTCCAGCTGTCCAATGCGTAGCTAGTAATTGGAAAAATCATGGCCTGGATCAGGTGAACCTTAGTCTCCAGACTGACATAATTGCTCCGTAGTACTTTGTAAAAGTCTCTGACAGCAAACTTTCCCAATGCAATCTGTCTTTATATATTCTCGCTGCTGGTACCAAGAGTGTTGACTGTGGAGCCAAGCAAACTAAAACTGTTAACAATCTCGATCTCTGATTGGTAGAATCTGTTCTTAGTTATCCTGCCCTTTCTTTGCTCTCTGTTAGCTCCTTACTTCCTTTTTCATGAATTTCTACTTTCTTTATCTTGGCAATTTTATTGAGGTCTTAACAGAAACTAAAAGGTGGCCCTGTGCTTTTTATGGGTCTTTGTTCTCTTTCCCATCTTGTTGGTATCCACCAGACCGGTTTTCCTACCCAATCTTGCCTCATTGCACTTGACTTACTAATGTGGTCTCTACCAAACATTGCATATTTCAAAATCAGTAAAGTTGTGCATCAGGTTTGTATCCTTTCTCCTCACCTATTCAACCTGTACACTAAGCAAATAATTTGAAAGGATGGATAATATGGAGAAGAATGAGGCATCAGGACTGGAGGAAGACTCCATACTATTCATTCACATTGTGTTCCATACAATCATTACTATTCATTATGTTTTACAAAATTAATCACCATTGAATTATGTCTACCATTACCATATACTCTACAATGAAATAATTTTTACCCCTAATTTCTCAGGGAAATGCAATCATACTTGCATGGTACATATTGTTTTGTGCCATCAAGTCATCTGTGACCCATAGTGACCCTATGCATAATAGCTCTGAACTCTGCCCTATCTTGAGCCAGTCTTACTGTCTCTGACACACTTAACTCCATTATCTCAGTTACTGTGTCAATGCATCTGATCCAGGGTCTTCCCCTCTTGCGTTGCCCTTCCCCCCTTCCAAGCAGTGTTCTAGTTTCCACATCAGCCTCTTTTATATATGTTAGCAGCTAAGTAATCTAAGTAACCTATTCATCTCACTAATGCAAAGAGCCATTTCTTGAGGAAAGAACTAGGGCCAGCACTTGAAACACATTTTTAATCACTCATGTATTCTGTTCTTGGGCTGATTTGATTCTAATATAATGAAGCAGGTTTATATGATTAGATGGCTAATAAGCACACTGTCTTGAAACTCTGTCTCCATGCTAAGGCAAATCATCTCTCTTGGATGAGATGGATTGATTCAGTGACTGGGTAATGACTGTTGTACATAGGGTTGCTATGAGTCGCAGGCGATTTCGGCACATAACAACAACATATTTGTCCAATATCAATCAATTGGATTATGTTGTTGTTATGTGCCATCGAGTTGCCTATGACTCATAGTGACCCTATGTACAATAGCTCTGAAACCTGCCCTATCACTGACTTTGACACACCTACTGCTATTATCCCAGTTACTGTGTCAATCCATCTCATCCAGGGTCTTTCTTTCTTGTGCTGTCCCTCCAACCTTCCAAGCATGATGTCCTTCTCCAAGGACTGGTACCTCCTGACCACATGCCAGGGTGTATTTGAGACAGAACATCAAAATCCTTGCCTTCAAGGAGAAACTTGGTTTCACCCTCTCCAAAACTGTTTGTTCTCTTGGTGGTGCATGACATGTTCAATATTCTTCTCCAACACCACAACTCAAAGGCAATTAATTATTCTTCTGTCATCCCTAGTCATTGTGAAGCTCTCTGATGCATGGCAAGTAATTGTGAAGACCATGACCTGGATCAAGCACACCTTAGTCCCTAGACATCATTACTCGTCAGCACTTTGGAAAGGTCCCTGACAGCTGACTTCCCCAATGAAATTTTTTTTTTATTTTATTTCCTCAATGCTAGTGTCAAGAATGTTGATTGTGAAGCCATGCAAGCTGAAATTGTTAACAATCTTAATCTCTTCTCCCTAATAGTGCTGCCAGTTGGCCCAGTGGTGAGAATCTTTGTCTTCTTAATGTTGAGTTTCAGTCCATATTGCAGACTACAGTCTCTGACCTTCTGCAGCACACACTTCAGGTCCTCCTCAGTTTTGGCAACAAGGTAGTGTCATCTGCGTAAGGCAGGTTGTTGATGAGCCTTCCTCCAATCATGGTGCCACATTCCTCCTCATAAAGCCCAACCTCTCAAATGATCTGTTCTGCATACAGATTGAAAAGGTATGGAGACAGGATGCATGCCTAATGCACTCCTTTCCCAGTTTTGAACCATGAAGTGTTTCCTTGCTCTGTTCTGAGGACTGCTTTTTGGTCCAAGTATAGGTTTCACATGAGCACAATCAAGTGTTCTGGGATTCTCACTCCTCTCAAGGTTAGCTACAATTTGTGGTAATCCATACAGTCAAATGCCTTTGCATAGTCAATGAAACAGATAGACAGTATAGAAAGTGATTATATTACAGTTTACTTCTGAAATAAAGGAGTTAGAATAGCAATACATATTTTGGGGGAATACAATTCAATCCATAACTTGTAATTACTATGGAAAAAAAAAATCACCAAACCCCAAATGGAATATCTCTCATGGTATAATTGACACAAAGTCTGTATCTGCTTAAGTATCCAAAGTTTAAATTTCTGCTCCTGAATTTAGGTTTTGTGTCCTTTCTGAAGAAGATTCCTCATTGAATGTTGATTCAAACAGTGCAAGGATGGACTTTTTGAAAACGTTCTTGAAGTTCTCCCCAATAAATAAGTATAGTATGGGAGAAAAAAGAGTATTGAAAGAAGTGGTTATCACTGTAAGTATCAGAACCAATTGCAAAAATGGTGACTGGGTCTTACTTAGACTTAAGCCCTGAAATATGTGGTAGGGCATCCAACACATGAAGAAAGAGAGAACGGCTGTCATCATGACTTTGAAGGGTTTGCTGGACTTAACCAGGCCCCTCTCTTTTATCTTGTGGGCTACTCTCCCATAACAAAATGTAATGATGAAGAAAGGCACAAGGAAGCCTACCAAGAAGCGACTAACAAAACAGGCTGTGTGAATCCTTTTCCTCAATGCTTCCATCTCTGTGCTTTTCCAGTTAGCAGATACAGCATAGTTATTTCGGCAGATCACTGTTCCTTTAGGATTTTCGTGGGTCTCTCTGAAGACCATGTAGGGTATGCTGAGGGCAGTGGCAGAGATCCAAACTCCCAGGATGATGCTGGAAGCCCAGCGTGGGGTTCGGTGCAGCTGTGACCACACAGGGTGGAGCGTGAGAAGATAACGATCAAGACTGATGGCTGAGAGGAAGAACACAGAGGCATACATTCCCACAGATAAAGAGCTGTTGAAGACCTTGCACATGGCAGTTCCAAAGTTCCAGTGATTGTTTTGAAGGTAGGAAATGGCCATGAATGGCATAATCAATGTTGAAAAAAAATATGAGAGAATGAGATGAAAAAATAAGAGGGTGTTGACGGTCTTCTTCATTTTGAATTTTAACACCCATAAATAGAGGCCATTAGTGATGGTACCAATTACAAATGATATAAACAAAGGAAGGGCTATGACCAGACTGTTTTTTGAGTCTGGAAGTAGAATGTGAGTGCTGTTACTTACTAAAGAAGAGATATTGACTAGGGGATCAGTATAGTTGATCGTATCCATAACTTCTGTGTCGTGAGAAACTGTGAAAATAACAATAAATAAAAAAATCATACTGAAAAATAAAATGTATAGATTAATGTGGTAGTTTTGCACAGTTGTTTTTGTTGTTGTTATGTGCTGTCGAGTCGCTTGCGACTCATAGCGACCCTATGTACAACAGCCCTAAACCCTGCTCTATCCCGTGTCAATCTTTTTTTAAAAAAATTTTTTTTTAATTCCCCCCTCCCCCGTGTCAATCTTATTATCTCCGACACACCTATCCGCCTTACCCCAGTGACGAATCAGTCCAGCTCACCGAGGGTCTTCCTCTCCTGCACTGTCCCTCCACCCTCCCAAGCATGACTTCCCTCTCTAAGGACTGGTCCCTCCTTACAACATGTCCAAAGCATGTCAGGTGAAGCTTCAGAAAAATCACAATATTTTATCATATTTAAAGATTTCTATAACAAATCAAAGCAATTCATTTTAAGGATCATTGTATGAGAAATTATGCTGAGATTAACTGAAGCATCAAAAATAGAAATAATGCAGAAGACTGAAATAAATGTAAAAGAGAAATGCAGTCTGGGTCATTTTGACAATTATTAATGAAGTCATTAACTTAGGTAGCTAAAAAGAATCTTTCTGACCCCTCTTAATAAGCAAACCTCCTTAAAATAGGCCAAATCAGAATCAGCTTTACTTGACAAAAGGCCTGGTTAATGTCAGTGTTGCTAATGAGATTAATTAGAATGACAAAAATAACAGCAAATATTGCAAATTAGCGATCATGGGAAGTTATAATTACATTTCTCATCTAAGTTAACAATATATAGTAAATGCTATTATCTAGTATCCCAGTAATTAGTACAGTGCAAACAGATATTCATAATGGGAGCCCAAGGACACTGCAAGATTGCCAAGTGTTCTCAGCCCTGTCCATGAAAGAGGAAGGAATATTGGAGATTGTAGCAGTAGTTCTTTTTCACTTGGGAGAGAAAGGAAAGAAGTCACAGAACTTACATTTATCTGATACTTGTTATATCCAGGAGATTGACATAGAAACAATCTGTTGTTTCTCAGAAAACCTATAAGACAAATATTTAAACAGAAGAGAGAGGCTTAAAAGAATTAAGTTTTGTATTTATCAATATCTTCTGCCCTGTTTCCTTTGTGGTAAGTGGGAAATTGCACTATTGTTTCAAGTTACATATTTGAAAATTGGTAACTCATGTGGTTTTTATTATAATTGTACTGAAGAGCAATGGTGTCACTCTGGAGACTAAAGTGCACCTGGTCTTTGCAGTCACTTGTACAGGCCATGGTCTTTGGAGTCACCTTGGTATTTGTCAGAGAGTTGGACAATGACTAGGGAGGATAGAAGGAGAATTGATGCCTTTGAGCGGTGATGCTGGAGAAGAGTATTGAATATACCATAGACTGCTAAGGAAACGAACAGGTCCAACCTAGAGAGGGTTAAACCAGGCTGCTCCTTGGAGGCAAGGATTCTGAGGCTTTATCTAACATATTTTGGATATCTTGCAAGGAGGCACCAGGCCTTGGAGAAGGATGTCATGCTTGGGAGGGTGGAGGGACAGCGTAGGAGAGGAAGACCCTCTATGAGATGGATTGATTCAGTGACTGGGGTAATGCGTGTAGGTGTGTCAGAGACAGTGAATTGACACAGGATAGAGCAAGGGTTAACTCTGTTGTACATAGGGTCACTATGAGCTGCAGGCGACTCGACGGCACATAACAACAACAACAATAACAAATCAGAATAATTGATTATCCAGAATATTCCATATCTTGATTATATTTAGCATAATTCCTATAGTATTGCAAGGAAAATCTGAAAATATCTTAGAAAATAGCTGTTAGATATAGTGAAGGATCTTTTGTGAAAAACAATATATTCACACTTTGTAAACAAACCAGGACAATATTTTAACAAGATATTATAAACTGTTCATATTGACTATTTTGCTTTTGACAAATCAGATAGCAGAATGTAAATTTCTAATGAGTGACACATTTCCCCCTCTATAAGCAAAAATATTCTAAGAATTCTTTTTTTATTGCTGTCATCAAGCCAATTCTAATCCATGGCAACCCTGTCCAGGTGTGTCAAAGTATAATTGCTCTAGGTTGCAACACCTCCATGATACATCTTCAAGGATATGAACCTGTATGGCTAAGCACGATTGATAACAGTGCATCTAAATTCCAAAATCAATCTCCATAATAGTCTATGTGTTTCCTACTGCCAAAGGGGCCCTTTAGAGTAGTGAGAGAAGATCTCCACCCTGAAACCCACAGCGTCCCTTTTCAGCAGGAAGTAGCTAAGAGAATACGCCATCCCCTTTTCCTTATGAATCAGGGTGAAGTCTCTCTCAGGGAGGAGTGATAGGGAATGGCAAAGGACACACTGACAAAGGAGATTAATCAGAACTGGCTTTGACAAACACTGTGGCAATTGGACAATTAAAACAGACATTCGGGGTGGGGGAAGAACGAACTGGGGAGGAGGGTAGAGAAAATAGTGCAACAATGAATGAATGAGAACCCAAAATCTCTGTAAATGTTCATTAAAACTAATAAAAAAAAAAAGAAATGGTGAGATGAAGAGAGTGAGTTGGGATTCAGACAACTCTGAGTTTAAATCCCACCTTATAAAACTACTTAAACCCCCCCCCGAAAAAGTATAATTGTGCTCCATTGAGTTTTTAAGGCTGTGTCCTTTGTGAGCCGATTGTCAGACCTGTCTACTGATGTTCCTCTGGGTGTGTTTGAACTGCCAATCTTTTTGTTAGTATTTGAAATTAAACCTTTTTATTCCACCCACAGGCTTTTAAGATTATATATAGAATAGAAATGAAACAATTGCTGTTTAAATGCCCAAGTTTCGTAAGTGAATTTTACATTCAGAGGAGTTGCCTTCTAAGGGTACTTAACAGTGCTCATGTGAAACCTATACGTAGATCAAGAAGACGTGATATAAACAGAGCAAGGAAGCAGTGCAGTTTAAAATCAGAAATGATATTTGTATGTCTGTGTGTGTGTGAGGGCCATATCCTTTTCCCATATGTATTCAATCTGAATGTAGAACAAATACTTTGAAAAGCTGGACCATCTGAAGACGAATGTGACACCTGGATAGGAGGAGGCTCATCAACAACCTGCACCATACAGATGACACAGCCTTACTTGCTGAAAGTGAGAGGACTTGAAACACTTGTTGCAGAGGATAAATGACTACAGCCTTCAATATGGATTCCATTACCATATTAAGAAAACAAAAATTCTCACCACTGGGGCAATGGACAACATCATGATACATGGAGAAAAGATAGAAATTGTTAATGACTTGATCTTGCTTGGTTCCACTATTAACACCCCTGGCACAAGCAGCCAGGAAATCAAAAGATGTGTTGTATTGGGGAAGCCAGCTGTCAGTGACCCCTCCATAATGCTGAAAAGCACAGCCATTAACTTGAAGAATAAGGTGCCCCTGATATAAACTAAAATCTTTTAAATTATTTGCTATGCATATGAAAGTTGGACAATGAATAAGGATGACAGAAAATAGATTCTGTGCCTTTTAGTTGTGGTGTTGGAAAAATGTGCTAAATGGACTGCCAAAAGGCCAAACAAGTATGTCTTGGAAAAGATGCAGCCAGTATGCCCCTTGAAGGCAAGGATAGTGCAACTTCATCTCACTTGGGCATATTGTTAGGATGGGCTAGTTCTTAGAAAAGGACATCATGCTCAGAAAAGTAGAGGGTCAGTGAAGGAGAAGACCTTGAATGAGCTAGATTGACACAGTGACTCTAATAGTAGGCTCAGGTGTTTATCAGAGTTGATAAAGACAGCACAGGATAGGGCAAGGTGCAGATCTATTGGTCATAGGGTCATGATGAGTTGTAGTCAATCAATGGCATTAAGCAAGAACAACACAGGAGTTGCAAAAATCTTAACTTAGGAGGAAAATATTTTAGTTTTATGCACTGGGAATAAGAAGTGAAGTTTGTAGGGTGTGTAATGGCTAGACAGTGGTGTGTCAAAGAATAGAAACTTGAGAAAAAAAGAAATTGTGCGATAAGTCCTAGGATCATGAATACCAGCAAGGGGACTAACGGGGCACAGGAAACATCTGCCAGAAAATTATTTGATATCGACTTGGAACCAACACATAGCTGATCCTCCAGCAGGTTTTCAGAGGCAGTAAATCTCACCAGAGATTTCCCATCCTCTTCCTGAGGAGTAGTAACTCATGGATTTAAACCATGTGCCTTGGGATTGCAAAGACCATGATTTGTATCAGGTGCAGTCTCTACACTGAAAGTTCTTAGGTGTGAAGTGAGTTGTGTGTTACGATGCAAAGACATTTGACTGTGTGGATCACAACAAATTGTGGCTAACCTTGAGGAGAATGGGAACCCTAACTACTTGACTGTGCTCGTGTGAAACTTATACTTGTACCAGAAAGCAGTCCTCAGAACACAGCAGTGAAACACTGCATGATTCAAAATCAGGAAAGGAGTGCATCAAGGATACATCCTATCTCCATACCTTTTCAGTCTGTATGCAGATCATTTGGGAGGCTGGACTTTATAAGGAGGAATGTGGTATCAGGATTGGAGGAAGAATAATCAACAACATTCGTTATGCAGATGACACAACTTTGCTTGCCAAAACTGAGAAGGACCTGAAGTGTTTGCTGCACAAGGTCACATACTATAGTCTGCAATACAGATTGAAGCTTAACATCAAGAAGACAAAGATTCTCATCACTGGGCCAATTGGAAGCTTCCTGAGGGATGGAGAAGAGATTGAGCTTGTTAACAGTTACAGCTTGCTCAGCTCCACAGTCAACACACTTGACACCAGCAGTCAGGAAATCAAAAGACAAATTGTATTGGGGAAATCTGCTATCCAGGACCTCTCCAGAGTGCTAAAGAGTAACAATGTCTGTCTGATTCAGGCTGTAGTCTTCAAAGTTATTTGCTATGCATCAGAGA